CTCTGAGACTACATTTCCCATGAGGCACTGGTGCTGATATTTTTCTGCAGGGGGTGGAGCCTGTTCCCCTCTCTGAGCATGCTGGGAACGGTAGGCAGCCCAGCTGCATTTTCCCACCGACTTACCTGGAGAGGCTTTATAGAACTACATTTCCCATGAAGCCTTGCGCCGCCGCACGGCTTTCTGCGTTCTGTAGTTCGCGGGGCTTGACTTGTCGGCCGAGTGGGACTACGTTTCCCATGACGCCTTGCTCCGCGGCTGTTGGCCCCGCCCTCAGCCCGCCGCACGCAGGGCAGCTGGCTCGGCCCGGTGCTGCAGAGTGGAACCCGGCAGGCCCGGCACCTGGCGGTAAGGGGCCCCTTCAGAACGTACCACTGTGCGCGGCGGGGGGCGGGCTCGGGGCTGTACCATTCCCTGTTTTCCCCGGGTGGCGCAAGGGGATGGGGGTAACGGGGCCCTCGGGTTCGTGACCGCAGGTTCGAGTCCGGCCTCGGGCACCTGGGCTCCATCCCCGGCCCGTGGCCAGGCAGGACGCCTGGGTTCTCTCCCTGTCGGGGGAGTGGGGTCTAGTGGTTAGAGCAGCAGGGGCTGGGAGGCAGGACGCCTGGGTTCTCTCCAGAGCCAGGGGAGGGGAGTAGGGTCTAGTGGTTAGAGCAGCGGGGGCTGGGAGGCAGGACGCCTGGGTTCTCTCCAGAGCCAGGGGAGGGGAGTAGGGTCTAGTGGTTAGAGCAGCGGGGGCTGGGAGGCAGGACGCCTGGGTTCTCTCCATGGCTAGGGGAGGGGAGTAGGGTCTAGTGGTTAGAGCAGCGGGGGCTGGGAGGCAGGACGCCTGGGTTCTCTCGCTTGGGAGGCAGGACGCCTGGGTTCCCTCCATGCTATGCATTTGTCAGTGTTCAGTGAGGCCTACGGACTTGGCATAAGTTGGTACCTGGTCTCCCAGCCTCACACTATGGCAGTAGTGGTGAGGTTCAAAGGGGATAAGAAGGAAGGCAGCAGGGGCTTGGGAGGCAGGACGCCTGGGTTCCATGCCCAGCATGGGGTCTGCAGGAGTGGGGCGGGGTGTCAGGGATGCTCCCCCAGGCCTTTGCTTTGGGCCAGAAAGAGAACCCAGGAGTCCTGGCTCTCTGCCCTGCCCCCTTCCCCGCTCTAACCACTAGCCTCCATGGTCTGATTTGCCTGGGTTGGACCTTGGTGTAGGAGAGATTTGGGCAGCTTGGGCGCACAGGGGGTTAATTGCTACGCTCGCTGGCGTGGTGCCTGGGCCGTGCCTCCTTGGCCCAGTGCCTCATGCCTTGGGCGGTTTGTCTGGGGCTGGTATCGCTTCCCCGCCCGCCTGGGGCAGCCCCCTAGCAGGCGTTATACCCGCTGTATGGCCCTGACCTCTAATCCCCTATCGCCCCCATCCCAGGGCTGTAGGGGGGCCCAAGACCCCCCCGAGCAGGCTGCACTGCAGGGGCACAGCCCCCCCTCTGTGTCCCAGGGGCCCTGCCCTGCGTAGCTGCCGGGTGAGCTGAGGACAGGCTGAGGGGAGGGGCCGGCGAGGCTGCTACGCACGTTTGTACAGTGCTCCGGCGAGTCGATCGCGCGAGCCAGACAAACCGGGCCTTGTTCGCTCTCGTTGTGCTCGCCGCTTTCCCCGGGGGCTGGCG